AGCAGTACAAGGCAAACGCACGCACAAAATAGGGAGAAGAACTTCGTGAAGCTTCTCTGCTGCCGAGTTATCTTGAAAAAAGCCATCTAGGAAGCCCAGCAGATACACCCCTACTTCTTATTTTGTAAGAAAAGAGCACAAAAGAACTTAATCCAAAGTAAATATTTAACCAAACAGCAATTAACTAACAATGATGGATTGTAAACAGCGCTGCTCCCAGGCTGAGCTGCGGCTCTCGCTCTGTTTCTCTGGGCTACAGCTGCCCTAGGGGGGAAGGCAAGTTTACCGAGCCAGGTTTGTCTCTGCCACCTCGCTATTAAAAGGCTCTACAAACACAAACGGCGTCGGATGTTCTGAGGGCGAGGAAAACAATAAAGAACGCAGCAATGCATCGCGCGGGAGCTGTAAGGCTTTATGGAACAACCGTCCTTGGGAAGGAAGGCTGAGAAAACACAAAGCTGTAAAGGAACTGCTTCCCATCCGGGCAGCCTTGTGTGCGTGCACCCCGTTGGGCAGCGAGGCCACTCATCCACAAGGAAGTAGTGATGATCATAATAAGCATTCAAATATTAGTAAAATATATTAGGAATTATTCATTACCTTATCATTACGACCAGTTTGTTATTGTTATGCTCCATTATTATTATTATTATTATGCTCCATTCGGACAAATATCCCCCAAATATCACTACTTCCATAACAATAATACTTATTAATATTGTTATTATCTCTTAGTTCCCAGCTCCATGTGCCTCCGGCAGCTGCAACAGCCTGGTTGGGCTCTGTCCGTGCCCCCACCTGGGGGGGTATTAAGGGCCGGGGTGGTCCATGGGATGCGCAGGGGATGCTCCCATCCCGGCCCCGGAACGCTCAGATCCCCGCGATACTCGGCGCTTCCCTTCCCGGCGCTCCCGAGCGGCGGAAGCGGCGGCCGTTCCCCCCCCCCCGTGCCGCACCGCAAGGTCACCCCGCTCTGCCTACACGCCCCAGGAGACCGTGGCCCCCCCCCTTTCCCCCCCACAGCCCATGGGGGGGTCGGGAAGGGGGCGGCGGACGGGCGAAGGAAGAGCTCCGGATCCATCGGTGCGTCCCGCTCAGCCTTTTCCTCTCCTTTCCCACAGGACGTCCGGACCTGGGAGATCTTTTTAAATCCTGAGCTGTAGAGATGAATCTATCTGGGGATCTTCTGCAATTAAAAACAAAAACAAACAGAACCCAATAAAAACATCGGGAGATGAGGAGCAGGGATCCGGTTCCGAAGGTCGGTGCTACAGGGCTGCAATCCTTACTCGCTCTTTGCGGCTCTTTGTGTCACTGCGCGTCGCCGTGGCACCTTCCTGTGCCCGCAGCCATCGGAGGTGCTGCTCCCACTCCCCCTTAGGAAGCAGAGGGGAAATCACCCCCCATTTAATGGATGGGAAACTCGGCACAGCGCAGATGAAGTGATTCGCTGACAGCGCATAAGGAAATGGCACCAGTGGAGCATTCTCTCCGTTATGCCGTCCTTGTAGCTGCATAATATCCCTCTAATTCCAAACGGAACCTACTCCCCGTGCAGGGCTGCACTGCTGAATGCAAAGAGTGCAGACAGCATTAGCAGCACCCGTGCATTCTGCTGGGATGGTTCAATCCAGGCTGCATCCCCTGCATCCTCAGTGTGGTGGGCTCTGCACAGAGCAGCCTACAGACAGCAGCCGAGGTGGGCAGGGGTGCAGTGCTGCCACGTGCAGCTGTGACACGGGGGGGAACCGAGGGATGTTTGGCTGCTTGGGGTGCAACACACATGCAGCACACTCAGCTTCGTGCTGCAAGGAGGAGGAGCAGCGTGCTGGAGCTGCCCCATGGGACGGAGGGCCAGGAGGGGAGAGCAGAGCAGAGCCCCTGGATGCAGCCACAGTGCGGGTGTGCAGCACTGAGCCCAGCCCAGCGTGCTGCCATCCCGCCCTCTGTCAGGGCTAGGCCACCATCCAGGCTCCCCTGCCCTCATTTGAATTGGCCCGGCCTCGTAATCTGCTGCTAAGTGGGACTGCGATGAGCACCGAGATAAATTTAGAAAGAAATCTTTGTATGGGTCAGAGGAAAAACACTGCAGCCTCTGGAATCCGAGCAGAGCGACTCCATGGCTCCTGCTGCAGCCTGCGGACTGGGAAAGGAGCTGGGGGGCTCTGAGTGCAGCCTGGTCAGCCAGGCTCCCACCCAACAAACCCATTCGGTTCTGAGAAATCCAGGATGTGTTCACATGCAGCCAGGAGGGCTGCGGTGCATCGCTCCTCCTCCAGGACCACCAGCCACGCCACAGCAGTGTTGTTCCCTCACAGTTCTGCTAAGCTGTTAAATTGTTTTTAAACAAGAAAATATATATATATATAATGGTATTAGTGGTGTAAAATCCCCCGTGAAATCACGCATCCGCTCCCCTTGCTACATTCCAAGCACCATTCAAAAGCGTTTTATCACGTGGTCATAAAGGGTATGGAACCAACGCGAGAAAAGGAAAAGACTCTTCTGAATTATTTTCCTTTAATAAGCTATTAGGACCTCGTACTGCTAATTAAACTATTAATTAGATGCCTTATCGTTCCCAAACGTGTTAGCACGTTGCCAAAGCAGCAGAGAGCCTCTGGGGCAGGCAATAGATAAGGAAAGAAGGAAGATGCAAACATGAAGATTAAGGGGAAAAAAAAATAAAAAAATCATGAGTAAAAGAAGCAGAAATAGCAAATAAAGAACTCAGGGTAGGTAATGCATTATTTAAATCACAAGAATAATAAAAAAAATACACAAGCTAAAAATAAACACCCCAGGGATGTGGCCTGCCTTATGCAAGAGCAGGAACTGACGGGCAGCAGTGCTCACAGGCACCCAGGTGCCAGCCCCACTGTTCTAGCAGAGCACAGCCAGCAGATAGCAGCATTGCTATACATTTGTGTGTATATACCCCAGGCTGCGGCTGTTGCAGTTTTTAAGCTGTGCAGGAACCTCAGAGCACAGCAATGCTGGCCCACAGGGCTGCAGCCTGCGCTGCTACACGCATGCTGTAAGGCTGTAATGGAAGAGAAAGCACCATGATAACAGCAGGGTGACAAAGGGTACGGCGGAAGCAAATGAGAACGGGCCTAAATACAGCAGCCACAGATGCAGAAATAAAGAAAAAGAGCTGCTTACATTTGGAAGGCTTCAGAGTGCAGGAATCTCCAGCAAGAGATGCCCTCAGCTCCTCTCCACCCTTAAATGAGGTGTGGGAAGGGGTGAATCCTGACTCCACCTCTTCCAGTCACTCAGGTACATTGCTTGCACCTGAGCTTCCCTGGCTCAGCCCTGCTTCCCCACCAGGAGCTCAATCACTGCTTCAGGCCATGATTTAACATCTCTGCTACACACACCTGTGACATCCAACGTAGAAGTGGTACTTCTGTGTCCTCCAAACAGCCCTGCAGCGCATCTCGGTGCCCCCTGCGTTTCAGCAGGATGTGGCTTTGCTTTTGGTGGCTGTTACAGTGCAGTGGGGCAGAGTGAGGGATTGAGCTGGAATTTTAGCACCCACACAGGCTGAGTGCCCTGGGGGAGCACAAGGAGCAGCAGGAGAGGAGCTGGGGCTGCAGGTGGGACAGGGCTGCTCATGCAGGGCAGGTCCTACTGCTGGGGGGCTCTGCATCAATGGAAAAAGGATGAGGAAGCAGAAAGGAGAACAGGGAGCTGCTTTCTCCCGATGTGGGCTGGGCTGTTCTGCTGTGCAGGGCTCACCTGGCAAGGTCGTGCTGGTTTTGCTATGTGCACCACGGAAGATCCGTCGAGAGAAGTAGTTAATAAGACTTAATTAAAACTTGCTTGCTCTGATGAATTTGATTGGCTTCAGCAATGCACTGAGCCAACCTGAAGCTCACAGTAACACTGTGTGGCAGCTCAGACACAAAAGTATCTCATTGCTGAACAAAGTCTCTGCTTTCAGCCTGAGGAAAGGTCTGGGGCTGCCTGCATGGCACCAGGGCTCCATTCTGGTGCACGGATGTGACACTCAATGGCTGTGCCAGCACTGGGTGAGCAGAAGAAAAAGCCACGGTCCCAGCAAGGTCAACGAGGAAGGGATGTGAGGGGTCTGATAAGGAAGGAACAACAGCAGCACTTTTGCCTCGGCAGGGCCGCCCACAGCCCCTTCCACAGCGCTCGTCCTACAGCCCCGCTCGGCTCCGTGCCCACCAGGATGTTCCTGTGAAGCCTTTTGTTCTGCCCCAGCAGCTGATGGCTGGTTTTGTTGTTGTCTCAGTTTGGCTGTAGGACGTACACAGAGCTGTGAAAAATGCACCTGAGCTTTGATTAGATCTCTCTTTTCTGATGCAGCAGATAGTGCTGATTAGATAAGGGGCTGCCAAAAGGAAACAGAACACACACCAGGAAGGACCTCACAGCACAGCAGCTGCAATCATTCAATGTCGGTATGTGGAAGGAGCTGCAGTGAGCTGGGATCTAAGTGAACCCCACCTGAGTCCATGCTTTCTGTTGGGGGACTCCAGCTCAGCCTCCCCGACCTACTGGCACTGCAGCTCAGTGCTCCCCTGGGTCTGGGAGAGACAGAGACAGCTAAGCCCACACCCAGGGCAGCACAATTCAGATGCTGTGGAGCCCAAATCTCTGAGCAATGTATGCATTGAAAAACACAGCAGCCAAAATAACCACTGCTTTTACAGGACAGCAGCGTGCAGGGAGGAGTGAGATCTCCTTTACCCAGAGACCCCATGTTATCCATGCCCATGAATGTGGAGATATGGGTATGGATACCTGTGGGCACCCACCCATGTCCATGCCCTGCAGCTCTGCCCCATTGCTCAGCCCCACCGTGTGCACGGCAGAGGCGGTCAGTGAAGTTCCAACACCATTATTTGGGTGCACAGAGGAAGCCTTCTTCCTCCTGCACTCACACACACCCTGCTGTCAGCACAGCCCCCAGCCATCAGCCTGCAGCCTCGTTTATTTCTCCAGGAATTAGCAGCACATGGTAAACATCAGAAAATCAAACAAACGCCGTTTAATAACTTGATGCACGTCACTCGTCCAGCAGACGTGTGGGACAGCTTTGAGTCATCACGTTGTGCTGCAAAACAAGGGCTCACTGAGGTGTGGTCCTGAGCCCCACGTCCCAGCGGGATGAACACGCGGCGGCTCTGAGGACACTCGTTTCTAATGCTTCTTTTTTCTCTTTTTTTTTTCTTTTTTTTTCTTTTTTCACTGAGATGATTAAAATGAGGGCTGGGAGAAGCAGTTCACAGGGGAACGGCGCCTCGGTTTGCTCCTGCTATTGGCATTTCAGCATTGGCTTTTTGTTACTGTAAAGTAAAAATGCTTTGTTTTTGTCTGAATGGAAACGTCCATCACAGAGTCCAGCAGATGTCTGACCAGGAGCCCTTTGGCATCTTCTGTTCCCAAAGTCCTATGGAGGCCAAAGCTCCATTTTGTAGGGTGAGGTGATGGGACCACGTGATGATGGATCACTACAGCTGTGTTAATGCCATCTCCAAGCTGGGAGATGGGCGAGACCCAAAACACTCTAAAACATCTACTTGCACCCCGGTGGGGTCAGCAGAGCTCAAGGTCTGTTTGTATTTCAGCCTTCAATGCCACGTTGGAAGTCTTACACGGAGCTTCAGTACATTCTAAGAGACGAAGGAATGTCAAAGATGGCACAAAGGGCGAGGAGGGGATTAAACACCCCATGCTTTTAAAGGAGGAAGACGTCCTGTGCTTAAAGACGAGATAAAAAAAACATAAATCCCTGAAACCTGAAAGGTTCGTGTCACTGGAATCCCAATCTAACTATTTAAATCACGGTACCACCAAATCCTGGGGCTGCTGGTGCTCAGATCACCGCTGCAACTCGGATCGTGGCTTCAGCCTCCTCTGCTCAGCTGCGTTTCTCACCGTGTGCTTTCAACAACAAAAGCAGAGGATGGCAGTAAAGAAGTTCCCTGTGCAGTCATTGGAAGAAGGAGGGAGAGCAGAGAAACGGCCCCAGGCGGAGCTGGAGCGCAACGTGCTTTGGGGCGACGGTGAAGTTCTTCACGGAGACGAGAAAAAAAATATATTAAAAAAAAAAAAAAAAAAAAAAGATGAAAAAAAGATGAAAAAGTTCAACGTGAGGCACTCGTGCACTCGTGGCGTCACATGGACGTGTCGGCCAGGCTCTGCGCGGTGCCGCGGCCGTTGCGGGACGCGCCGTTCTCCTGCGCCCCGTTGGCGCTCGGCTTCTCCTGCGGTGCAGGGCTGCCCTGGCTGCCGGTCTCCAGGTCGTAGTGATCTTCATCCTGCAGGCAGCAAGGGGAGAGGTGGTGTTAGGGAGGGGAAGGCGGCTCTGCCACCAAGCAGAGGGTGGGTGGTGTCCTGTGGGCACGGGACCAGCACCTGCTAGCATAGAGCCATGTGGACATGGAGCCCTGCTGGCAGCCAGAGCTGTGCTTGTCCTCTGGGACCTGAAAAGAGGAGCTGCAGGGTGGGTGCTGGTGGATAACCCACCTTGGGTTGGCAGAGCTGCCCCAGCTCTGAGGGGCTCTGCTTTCCTCTGGTGGCCAAGAAGAACCACCATGGAATGAAAGCTATGGGAGTTTCCTACTTCTCTTCCCCAATCCCTTGCAGCAACACTCCAGCAGCTCAGCACTGCACTTCAGCATGGAGATGCATTTGGACCTGCACATACAGAGCTGTGCTCTGTGGCTCTTTACTGACACTGCTGCAAGGAGCTGCCACCATCTCCTACTCAGGCACACTCACTCCACGTGCCCATAATGCATCAGTTTCCATAGGGATGCAGCAGGTCCCATAGGGGTGCAATGGATCCTTTGGTGTTCAGCAGGACCTGGTGAACCTGGGCTGTGGGCAGAGATTGAAGCCAGCAGCAGAGGAGAGCAGAGGGTGGGCACCTGCACTGTGCATCCCGTGTGCATCCTCTGATCTCTGTTCATTCCTCACCCCGTATCTGTGGCAATGAGGTCTGTGCTACTCATGGCAAAGTGCTGTGATGCTGTTCAGCATCTACACCAGCAGCTCCCACCATGTGCTGGCCCCATTGCCACCATCCAGGGCTGCACCCAGCAGTGCTGGGCTCCAGCTGCCTCTTGCACATCTGGAGTGCGACCTTTCTGACAGCGAAGCACTCCAATGGCTGCAGCACCACCCGTGAGCAATGACAGGAGAAAAGCCAGGCCCTGAAACTCATGGCAAAGGAGTTCTGAGCCCTCAGGGTGTAACACGGACATAGGAGCATTTCTTCTTTCTTTCTTGATACATTTTATTAAGCGAGGGGAGGAAGAGCCTTTCTTACAGCATCAGTAAACGGGCGGCAGGGCGCCCGCTCCTGGCTACCGGGCGCTTTGCCACCTGTAGGCACTGACCAGCCTCTGTCCCGCGGGGCTCCAGCTCCGCCGCCGCATCAGGAAGTACCCAGCCATGCCCAGAGCTGCCAGCAGGAGCCCGGAGGTGACCAAAGCCGTCAGTGTCTTCCGAGAAAAGTCCTGATGGCTCCGCACGCTGCCCCGTTCGAGGGATTTGATTCCGAACTGAGAAAAGAAAAAAAGAAGAACACTGCCAAAGGGAGCCAAGAGCCTCGCAAACAGGAAACGCGTGCGTCTGCTCTGCGGCTTCCAAACAAAGCTGCTCTTCACCTCCTTGGGAGATGCACACAAACAGGGCTGGGCTGTGCTGCCTGAGCTCTGTGCTTTGCTCACAGTGCAGTATCTGCTGCTGCATGGTGAGGTTTGCTACCCCAAACCTGAGATTTAGAGCATGGAGCATCTGTGAGCTGCTGCAGCTCTGCTGGCTGCCTTTATTTGGATACCTGGAGCTCGGCTTTACGAGCCGGCAGCAGCCTCACTGCAGTGCTGAGAGCAGGAATTAATTAACATCACGCAATGCTTTGAAGATGCAGAGTTCCAATTACATCCTAAGAGTTATCACTGGGATCTAGCCCTTTTTTAAGAGGACACTACCCAATTTTACAGTGACTGCTCCAAGCAATTCTACCTTCAGTGCTTGCATCGAGGATCCTGGGGCACCATTGTGCTGATTTTGGGCTTACTGCTGCCTGGCACAGCAATAGACTCCAGGCATTGAGACCATCCTGACACTGAGCTGCCTAAACCCCACTCCCAGGGCCCGACCTCTCTGGGCATTTACCTTTTCCCAATGAGACTCCCGGAGCACATCCATAGCAGGATCTGCAATTGTTAAACAAAACTGCATTACAATAAGCATCACATTGCAGTTAACATCAGCACAGGAGCCCAGGAGCCACAAACCCCTTCACCCCTCCAAGTGCAACACCATGGCTGAAACAAAACCCCACAAGAAAGAGCTCCTCCCAGGCTGCAAGTGAGAACCGGTGCCCTACGGACACCTCCCCAGCCCCTCTCTGGGGCCTGAGGCATGGTGATGGCTGGGGCTCAGCTCCTGACCTGTGTTCCCATCGAGGACGAGCAGCAGGCACTCCTGGTCCACCTCAGACGTGGCGAGTTTGATCTGGCAGGGTGGGGGCACACGGTGAGCATCCTCTTCACAGATCGCGCTCCATAAATCCGAGCCCTTCGTATCCAAAAAATGTTTCTGCAAGGTTTTCAAACAAAGAGCCATGAAACCAAGGATAAACGAAATTAAGATATTCATAGCAACTCTTGCAAGTGACATTTAAACAAAGCTAAATTTAGGTTTTGAATGGCATGGCAAGTCCCTCCAATCTCTGGACAGAGCGAGCAGCCTGAAGAGCCCCATTGTTTCAGGATCCCGGGCAGGAGCTGGAAGGGAGGGGAAATAACAAAGAAGCATTTTGCCTTCCTGTTTAGGAAATGTCTTCAGTGTTTTCTCTAGGTTGCTGATCAAAGGCCAGGCAACAAAACACGCATTTCGCACTTCTTAGAGCTGAGCCTTCTCTTGGGTGCAAGAGGAAGAGGAGAACTGCAGCCCTTCCCTCCCATGGGCAGGTCCCTGTATGGGACAGGACTGTCCTTCTCCCTGCAGCTATTTCCAGATGCTGTCTGCCAGCAGAACCACTGACCCCATCCCATCCCATCCCATCCCATCCCATCCCATCCCATCCCATCCCATCCCATCCTATCCCACTGGGCCACAATCACAGCCCCTCTGTCCCACATGCAGCTCCACGCCGCCTGCCCTCCCCTGGCGTCCCACACCAACAGGCACACTGAGCAAACAAAAATGCAGAGATCCATCCACTACAGAATAACAAACAAATCAGTTTCAGCTGTCTCAATAGAGCTTGGCGTGGGGACAAGGAAGGCCAAGATGGAACAAGAGGCCCAAGTGTGTACTTTCCTTTCTCTGCTGTGGAAAGAACTCATCCACGTATCAGAGTTTCCCTTTGCAATTAGCAGAGCTGGGTGCCAGCTCATTGCTCATTTGCTTTGGGAAAAGTCAGCAGGAAGGACACAAAGCCATTCCCTGGGATCTGCCCCTTCTTGGCAGCTCCTATCAGTTCCCAGCTGCAGTTTGGAGCAGGGCATGCACTTTGCTGCGGCCCTATAGGATGCTCTACCATCCATGCTCATGCAACCCATGCAAATGCCAGGAGGCCCGGTGCCACTAGATGGCAGCTGAACTCGGGAGCTTCCATAACCAACCCTGGCAAACCACCGCCACCGTAAACCCTGGCAACCCTAAAAGCCATGTAACAGGCAATTTACAAAGGGAAGCCAAGCAGGAATTCACCCACCCAAAGTGGTTGCAGCATGGCTGACCAGCAAAATAAGACTCATCGTTGTCATTTGTACCCAGGGTGTTGCCAAGTCTCTGTCCCATAAGGTCCTGCTCCTGTTGGGCTCTCCTGCAGCTCCTGCATGGAGGCACGTCTGCTTCCACTCACAGCAGCACCACAGCTGCCCCTTCCTTGCTCCTATAAATGGTTTTGGTGCAAAAAGCCGAAGGCTGTTACAGAGTGCCTGAGATTCCCCTGGGAGTTAGCATGGACAGGGACACAGCTCTGCCCCCAGGCTCCTTCCCTGGGCTGCTGGCAAGACAAGAAAAGGCGACTGTGTTCCCAACAGAGGAGAGGAAGGAGAACAATAAAGGCAGTTTCCTGTTAAATGTGGTGGGAGAGACTTCAGAAGCCAAACAGACCCCAGAGCTTCATGAGGAAAAAGGAGGATTTATGTAACCAGAAAGCTGGATTCCAGTGGGATCCCTTTGGGATCCTCCAGGGGCTGCAGCAGCCATCCTCCCCTTTTATTTGGCACAGCTGTAATGCTTTCCCTCAGGGATGAAAGTGCAAAGCTCTCCACCTCAAACCGACCCCCAGTACAGTGATCCCATCTCCTCCAGACCACGAGTGATGCAAAACCCACCCATGGTGCCCCCTCTCCCCCACCTCCCATGTGCCTCCCCATTGCAAATGTAGGGCAGCACTCACACAGGTGTGGGACTCGTTGAGCCGCAGGCAGAGGGCTCCGCCATCTCTCACTTCTTTGATGTTGTGGCACGTGATGGGCTGGAAGTCAGAAAGCAGTGCTGGGATTAGCAAACCACTGGAGTAGTGTGTGCTGTCCAAAATGCAGAGCTGGATGATTTTGAAAGCAGAAGACCCCTCCAGAATGCCTGTGTTGTCTCCTCTGCTCAGCAGCTCACAGAACAGCGCTGAAGGTTCCTGGGTTGTCCCCCAATTTGCAGGGCTCTGCAGCACCTGTGCTTTGCTCACTCATCCTGGCCAAGGTGCATGCACTGCATCACCAGCTTTGTTCATCCCTCCCTACCCATGAAGGCCACAGTGCAGACCCAGACAGAGCTGGAAGCGAGACACCCTCTGTAATTGCTCACAGCCCTGATGCAAAGCCACCCACTCTCCTACTGCGTGGGATCACCAATGCAGACCATGTGCAGCCCTACCCCCCTCCTCTCACCTTGCTGACACCACCAGATGTGTGCAGCTGTGTTGTGGCCTCTGAGACCGCCGTCAGTCTGGGGGTGGCCGTGGAGCTGAGCAGTGTTGATGCAGATGGGTGTGCAGCTGCTGTCGTTCTGGGGTGAGGTGTTGGGCTCAGCGTGGTGGGTGCCCCACTGCTTGTATCCTCTGGATGGTTGTCCAGCAGCGGTGTGGGGGTCTGGTTGGTCTGAGTGCTGCTTTGGGTGCTGGGATGGGCGCTGGGATGGGTGCTGGACTGAGGGCTGTGCTCACTGCTGAGTCCTGGGGAGCTGGGGCTGCCTGATGTGGGTTGAGTAGTGGCTGCTGTTTGGAAGAAATGCAGTGAGAAAGATGCACGGAAAAGCTTAAGTCCTCTGCAATCAGTGCGTGGCATTGTGCTGACTGAAGTACAATATTGATTTGTCATAGCCAGCAGCATCAGAACGCGGCGTTGGCCGTGTAAGAAATGCATTAGGCTTGCTTAGGTTGCCTAATTGTTACATGAGCTCCATAATCTGTGCACAGTGGGCTCAGTTCCTGGGCACACACTGCAACACTGCCAGGGTGCCATGGCCGACCCCCCCCCCCTTGACCTGGAGCCATCAGAAAGCTGGGGTAAAAAATTAAGGAGGCTGTTGTCCCATCCCATCTTATCTGTTTGATGGAGGGAATGGGGCTGAGCCACCAGGCCTGCAGGCAGCCAGAACCGTGCTGCTTGGCTCTGATGGCTGCACAGGGATAAAGCAATGGGTTTTCCCAGTGGGTTCTTTTTTCTGAGCCCATTCTCTGACCGCTGGGTTTCTAAGGACACGTCGTACCCACGCACTGAGTTGAGTGAATCTGATGAACAACGCAGTGATTACCAGGATTGCTGTCCTGTGTTGGTGCAGTGCTGCCCATGACGCCGGTGGGTGCCACACTGCCAGTGCTGCTCTGTGCTGTTGCCACGGCCGAGGACACAGCAGTTAAGCTGTCTGTGGGGCTGCCAGCAGCGGTACCTGGGGGAGAAGAAGCATTAGGGGCTGCAGCCAGGCCCCCATCCAGCCCTGTCCCGTAGCTGCACAGGGAGGTTGAGCTCACAACTTTGCTTTCTTCTTGCCCCAGGTTGGCCTTGAGCTCACATGGGTCCAGAGAGCAAACAGCTGGGAGAGCATCAAAGGCTCCACGATCACCAAAGCTCTGGGAGCACCGAGGATGGGCCCAGTTCTGCCCTCATCCTGCACACCCTGAGCTCCATCGGAGCGCTGCACAAAGCTGGATTGTGGAGCAGCTTGAATCGATAATCCTTGGAAAGAAGACTGAGGCCTTGGAAGAGATCTCTGTGTGCCTCGGGAAACAAAAGTTGGATCTGCAGCCGCAGGCAGCGTGTCAAAGTAAATAGAAACATTCCCATTGGCTGCAGCTCAGGCTCTGACTCATGAGCAAAAACATCTTTGGAGGTAAAGCAGAATGTTTGGGGAGTCGCTTGTTGCTCTAACTTAAAGTTTATATATTGCTTCCTGGTGTGTTCCAGAGATGACACTTCCAGCTTTCCTTTCTGCTGTGAACTTCATGAGTCAGTGAAAACACATTTCTTCCCATCTCTTAACCTTTTACATTCCCGTTTCCAGTTTTGCAAGCTGCTTCAGTGTCTCCTGCAGGGCTGTTGCTGTTTAAGACTCTTATCCAGACACTAAAGACAAACTAATATAAAATACGTTGTTTCGTTTGTGTTCCTGCCCAGCACAGCTCCAAGGAGCGTTACCTCACCCTTCCCAGCAGCGCTTCCACAGGGAGCAGTGCTGACATGGGCTGAGCAATGCCAGCAGTGGGGCTGGGTGTGCACTGCACCCTTAGCAAGCCTTGGGGTGCCTTGGGGTGCTGTGCCTTGGGGTGCCATTCGTTGGGGTGCTGTGCATTTGCGTGCTGTGCATTTGGGTGCTGTGCATTAGGATGCTGTGCATTTCAGTGCTGTGCATTTGGATGCTGTGCATTAGGATGCTGTGCATTTGTGTGCTGTGCATTAGGATGCTGTGCATTTGGGTGCTGTGCATTTGGGTGCTGTGCATTAGGATGCTGTGCATTTGTGTGCTGTGCATTTGGGTGCTGTGCATTAGCATGCTGTGCATTTGGGTGCTGTGCATTTGGGTGCTGTGCATTTCAGCGCTGTGCGTTTCAGCACTGTGCACATCAGCATCATCCTGGCAGAACTTCTCCTAACTCAAGCTATCAGCGCTCAGCTGGAGGAGGCCCAGAAGACCTGGGTTGTTGGTTGAAGGCCATGCTGCTGCTCAGAAGTCCCTGTGGGGCTGCTCGGGAGCAATGCTGCAGCTGCTGGGGGCTCTGCTGGGGTGGGTGCAGGTGGTCAGGGCTGGAGTCAGGCTCTGCTCTCAGGGAAGATCTTTCCCCTCCCTGGCAGTTGCAGCCAATCCCATCCCTGAGTTTTTCTAAAGAATTTTAACAAATCAAAACCAGGAGGCGTGAGCCCTGTGCCCAGAACTGAAGTAGTGCAAAGTTAAAGCCAGGCTTTGCGTACAGCTCTGTGTTTGCATGGCAATCAGCCGGAAACTTTACATCACTGGAACTGAGGTGACCTCCCAAAGCACCACAGCCACCCCAGCACCTGTGAACTGTTCCAGACGTCTGAACGGCACCTGAGGTATTTCTGATCAAAGCCTTTTCATCGCTGAATGTCACAGATTGAAGCCTGGGTTACTGCTGGGTGCAGTTTGCAAGAAGATGCATCACACAGCGCTGCTCTCTTCCTCCCTCCATTGTGGCACATGCAGCTGCTTTTACTGAAATCACGGTGAGGTTTAATGCAGCACTGCAACTCACGAGACAAATAAGCATCCAAACGTGAGCTGGAGGGTCCACCCTGAAGCGGCCATTTATTGCACACACGTTTTTGGCAGCTTTGCTAAACTGGGTCCAACAGAAAGCAGAACTCCACAATACCAAAAGCTCAGGAAACGTGAAAAAAAAAGCCTTGCTTTGCACTCACAGTTGTTTTCTGCCCTGTGCCTGCAGTCCTGCAAGGCAGAAGGTGCAGCCCAGAGGGATTCCCTGGACTTTAATTACACCTCCCGTGCGCCTTGGGACCCACAGCTCTGGGATTGCAATGAGGAGCTCCGTCCTGCATTACTCACACATTCCCAGCCGTGCTGCTCCCGGCCATGTGGCAGGAACTGGGGCGGGTGGAGCCCTCTTCCCTCTGGAAATATCTGATAAAATCCCTGCCCTCCCCCATCCCTCCTTGCACAGGATATGGGTGTGGGGCTGCGCGAGCGCTCCATCGGGCTCAGGGCACCAGAGGCTGCACGTGGACACTGGAAACCCCCTTTGCATCACTGATTTGTAGAGCTTTTCTGGATCTTGCAGGAAAACAATTAATAAAGAAAGAACGCTTCCCAACAACACGACATTTAAGAAACAAAATCGAGCTTGGCAGAAAAGACTGAACATGACATGGGCCAGCAGCGCTTGCATTGGGAGCATCCAAAACACAGCTCCTCTGTCCCACACAGGTGTGGAGCTGAGCGTGGCCAGAAGCCCAGAGCTCACCCCACCTGCGAGGCTCCGTTTTGTGCCACGAACACAGCAGGCAGGGCAGCGCAGCTCCAGGGGTGAGAAATCCACCCCAGCAGCAAAGGGAAAGGAGCTCCATGGAACAGAAGAGCAAAACACAGCAAATTCCTTCAACAGAGGCAGTCCCTCACTTTGGCAGGAGTTGGGAGAATTGCATCTGATGACACCCGCGGGTCCCTGGCTGCTGTCCCAGCACTCTGCGCCCGCACGGAGCGCTGCTGCACTTTTTTATTACTTTGTGGTTGTTGGGCTTGGGACAAAAATGATAATATTTCCATATAGAATAACCCTTTCTTAATATGTATAGGCATATTTTAGACGATGACTACTTTGAAGAGTTGGAATGGGAGAGTTTAATACTTAAGACTCATCCGATTTTCACAACATGTTCAGTCCCTGCCACAGAACAGATTTACACCACTGCAGAGCGAGGGGTGTCCTGAGCTGCATCTGCACCCTTGTGTTACCTGCAGTACCGTTAGGGAGCTCTCCCATCTCGACTGCTGTCCTTCCCAGCCCTGCAGCATTCTGTTTGCAGCACCTCGTGTGTCTGGCAGGGCGCACAGTGCAGCGCTGCTCTGCAGAACATCAGTCAGGTGCTCTTCATGTGAAATTGCAATCTGCTCCGCTCCAACTACATGCCCAACAAAACGCATTCCCCACGCTTCACCCTTTCCAAAGACACAAAGCAGTTGCCCCATGCATTATTCCCACGGCCGTTCCATTCCCCAGCAGCTGCATCCCCGATCTCTTCTGCAGCCCGCAGACTCACCAGACAACTTCACAAGGCAGAAAGCGATCCAGAAAAGCTGCCTCCACTTCATCATGTGCACGCTTCCCCTGCACAGCATTCCAACTCGGGGCTCCCCGTAACTCTGGGTGCTGCTGGGACCGCGCGTGGGTTCAGCTCTGCAGCACTGCTGAGCTCATGTGCTTGGTTGGAGTTCAAGTCCCTGAGCTCACTCGGTGCTGGGGTGGGTTTCAAGTCAGGAGTTGTGCATTGGTTCAAGACGGCGAGGTGGAGTTTGCCTGATTCGATCCCACGGTTTTATAGAGTTCATGGCAACCTCGCTATCACTTAGGTAATTTTCTCCTCCCTGCTTTCCTGCCAGCACTTCCAAACAAACAAACAGACGGAACAAATCTCCCCCAGCAAAGGAGTCCACAGCCCTCACTGTTTTAACCCTTTCCTGAGAGCACAAAGGGGCTCCAGCCCAGCAGAGCTGCTCCAAATCCACCCAAACCCGCCCCTGGTGGGTATGGGGAACCCCCGGGAAATGAGAATGCTGAAAAATGGCTCCTGAAGCTGAGATTTTCTCAGCAAATTTAGCATGAAATTCAAGGATGTGAAATCATCACTGACCTGAAGAGAGGTAATTCCATTATCTTCACTAAATTGACTCTGGTCAAACTGAGAGCTGAATGAGATTTAGGGGAGGTCTACGAGAAAGCAGAATTCACAGGCAAAGCCTTTTGCTTAAAGCCTGGAGCAGAAAATGGACTTGAGATGAAGAAGTACCTCTGTGGAGCTGATTTCCACTAACGGCACCCTACAGAAACATGGATAGCAATGTAGAAACACCGACCCCACTCTTAGTCCCAGGCTGAAGGTGACCATGTGGCAGTGGCATAGCGATGGCCATTTGAGAACCCAAACCCCAGTGAAGTCAGAATCCTTCCTCTCCTGGTCTGACTGAATGATGCCATCACTGGAAAAGTCATTGTCACCAGGAAACAAAAATGAGGTGGCCATGAAAACCACGGGCAATGAAGCATTCAGTGGATAGACTGACTTTTGTGGATGTCCCACTGCACCTCTACGGCCACGTGGCTCCAGTTTGCCAACGGATCAAAGGGAAGGAAAAAAAAAGAATCAGTTATATTATGTACAAAGAGATCCCCAGACAGCATTTCCACGGTACGCGTTTGGTGGTGTGACAGAATTCCAGCAGCTTTTGTTTTTGGCTTAAGACAGGAAAAAGTCTCTTGGAAGGAAACATCTGTAGCTAAAAAAATGTGCTCCAGCCTCTATATAAAGATTTCTATCGTGCTTTTAGACTTTTTCTTTGTAGTGGATGATAGAATTATGTTTCATTGAGAATGAAATATCCTGGTAAATTGTGGTCTGTAAAACCTAAGCTCGGATACAGTGCAGCTCTGCACCCAGCATTTGCTCTTTTCCCCCTCCTCGTAACACATATATGCTTTGTAAATGCAAGACTCAGAGCAAACACAGGTCTGCATGCATATCAGCTTAGAAAATACATTCGAAAGATGAAATAAGTAGATACAGGCAAGGGTCCAATTTAAATAATAGGAAAATGTTTTCATTTCTGTCTTATTGAAGTGAGGATTTGGTTTGCAGTGCACAATTGGAAACGAAAACTGAAATTGTCAAGTTTCAGCTCCTGGGAAGACCAAAGACCACTGGTGAGAACCAAAGTGCCACCGCACAGCAAAGCATTGGGAACAGCCTCAGTAGGGCTGGAGCTCGGGAGTACTCCTGTGCAATGGTTTGTCTGAGCACTGATATGAAGTGGAACCAGAGGGACAGAACAAAACGAAGCAACAACTTTCCATCCTGCAGAGTGGAACAGCTGAACAGAAATTAATGCACTTCCGCAATGGCATTGGCCACGGTGCAGATGCCTCCAACCCCTCCTATCCCACCTTGCAGCCCTACAGACCCCAGCCCCACAGATCTCAGTCCCACAGCCCCGGTCCCCAACGTCCCTTCCTGTCCTCTCCCATCCGCTGGCCCCATTTCCTGCCATTCTCCCTCTGCCCCGGCTGCTGTATGGAAGGGACCAGCAGCATCATCCGGGCCTGGCTGCCAGTCATGTCTCACCTTTCACAAACAAACTAAAAATAGAGGGCTGGGCTAAGAATAGGCAGTGGCCAGGCCTGCCAGACACCAGGATAAGACCCAACGCCTTCAGCTTCCAGGGGAGGCTGGGCTGCATTTAAATGAAACTCCCTGTGACAAGGGTGTGGGTTTGCATTAATTCCCACTGCCACTGCTTGCACCAAGTGCATCAGAACATGCCTTGCAGCTCATGGCAGGACGGTGACTCACTAAAACGTGGTGCCACAATGGACAAATTGAACACATCCTCAAAATGAGGAATAATAATAATAAAAAAAAAGATGAAAAAACCTCTGAAGATCTCTCCAATTGAAAGCATGGTGGTTCAGATGAGAGACCTCGAGGTGCTTTCACCCACTGCTTTGCCCATGGGAGTGATGTCAGATGGCGGCAGTGGCATCCACTGAGCACCCAATGAGCATCACCAGCAGCTGCCACAGCTGGAGCAGGAACAGGGCAGGTCCTGGCACCCTTGTCCCTCCCCAAAGAACTGTCCCATCTTTTTGGCTAACCATAGATGGGGACACACAGACCTCCGAGCACACAGTGAACATGCAGAACACCCAGCTGTAGCCACGTTCTCTGCTGATTTCCCTCTGTTTGTTCACTGAGACTGGATTAAAGTTTATTAAATTTAAATTTAAAGACTGGATGTTGTGTTGAGGGACATGATTTAGTGGGAGCTATTGGGAATAGGTGAACGGTTGGACTGGATGATCTTTTAGGTCTTTTCCAACCTTGGTGATTCTATGATTCTATGATTCTGAGCAGAAGGCAACACTTCTTCTCGTGGACGTGGCTCTCCATTGAATCCTCTGCCCAAAGCGAATCGATGCAAATGAACGCCGCGAAATTATTTCCTCCTCTCAGCATCATAACTGGATTTTACAGTTAAAAATCATCTCGACGCCGTCGCCATCAGCTGCCCGAGGTTAACAATGGCTGAGACAATCTGACCCAAACACTTGAGGGGTCAAGTGCCCACATTTCAGACAAGCACGGTGATGAAGGCTTGTTCGCATCGGCTGGGAATTTGGCCAAGTATTTAAGGGTGATTTAATTTAATTGTGAATGATGCAATAGACATATGGCTAGGAAGTTATACGCCAGGAAACATGTTTCCTATAAGTATTTCAGCAGGCAGATGGCACACAATAGTTTTGGTGTAGTCATTTCCCCAGCTCCTAAAAGCTGCTATTTTCAACAGAAGAAATAATTCAGTTCCCTGCCATGCTCCCAAGACACCAATGCTACTGACCCAGAGGACGTGCAGCGTTAGAGGAGTGTTTCTGCACAGAACCCCATCAAAGGAACAAAACCTTGTGCTCACCTATCCGTTCCCATGCCAAAGTTTGGAAGCACGTTCAGCACTGAGCAAATATGAGCGGTCCCAAGACGATGGGGGAGCAGAGCAGAGCACCCAGCAGTGTGCAACGCCACTATATATATATAAATTCAGGCAAACTCCTGCCTGCAAGTGCACTTAATGAGTTCCTCGTTATTTACTGCTCCTTTACGCAGCTATTGCTTATTCATTTACCCTCAGCAGAGCCATTCCTCAGAGAGAAACAGCCGAAACAAACCCACCATATCCGTTTTTCGATGCGTAGATCGTGTATTTGCTCTGTTTTCTTAAATAAAAAAAAAAGCTTTGGGAAACATTAAATGAAATCTGCGGTTCTGAGAAGCACGGCGCACCGCTAAGGAAAGTGATGTATTAAAACAAATCACTTTGTATGATTACTCCACTAAAATCAATACCTTCAAATAACAAGTGGATGGGAAGCGTGCACACGGCTGCGTTTGAGCAAACCATATGGTGAATATATTGCTTAACAGTCTTATGCCTTAAACTTTTACTTCAAGACTGTTGGTTCGGATCTAATCAAGGCTGTGCTCATTTACTGCCTTCTGTCTGCTCAGCACTTTGCAGGGTATCACGGAGCCCTTAATCTAGTTTTAAGGGGCAGGCTGCAATGTAAATCACACCATTTAAGCGTTTCCCATGGAACTGTTCCCTCGATGCGTATTTTCCACGAGTCAGAGAGAAAAAGGGAGAATCTGCAAAGGCAGGAGCCAACAAAAAGCTGCGGCCTCCCTCGTTGCAAGAGCAAGGGCCTCTGTGTGGCTGCTGCTTGTAATTTGATGTCCTCAAGGCCTCGTTTGTGCACCGCAGGAAGAAGTGCCACCATTTGGATACGCAACGAGCAGCAAGGAGATACAGCGATGCATGAAAGCGAGCAGGGCAGGACAGCGATGAACCAGTCATATCCCCATCACCATCCATCACTCCCTTGGGGCTGCACCATGGTCTCATTAACTCGGCTGGTCTCACGGACTGCTTTTCATTGCTGTACCATCCGAGCTGCTCCTCTATAATAAACAGCGGCGCCACGAAAAGCCGGTAAAAATCATTAAAGCGTAAGTCTGGTAATTTAGTGCAAAGATTAGCTTCTCCACCCAGATCTACAGCTTGCTGATTGCAATTTATTCCTCACGTTTATGGATGGCATATAACTGCGTGTGATGGATCCACGGCCAGGCTTTCCCATCCATCACGAGGAGCTCCAGCGGTGCGGACGGACAGAGGGACAGAGGTGGGGCTGAGGCTCATCCCAAAGCGCAGGGCAGTGGCCTTATAGGGAAAAGCCATGGCAATCTGCATCCCTGCTGTGTTCTGGGGGGGATTTCTCCAGTGTGGAGAAGTGATGGTATTTCTGGGTGAAGAAACCCAAACGGTGATTATGAAATAAAGGGTTGACTTTTACTCTGAGTAAATATCAGTTAGTGCCAGGTGGCAGCGAAGCATCAGATGAGACACAGAACTCATCAGCAGCGGTGATGAAAGGCATCTTTAGGAGCACTGGGGGAAAAGCACTGGAAAGGGCTCTCATCTCCACCCTGGCAATTGCTGATAATAAAGTGCTGCTGTTTTCTACCTGGCAATGAGGTCCCAGAGGTACGAGCCTCTCTGTTTTTCAAAGGAAGGTTTGTTCAAACACACAGACAGGAGCATCCCCGCTCATTACCCGTCCTGCTGCTGCTGACCCACCGCACTGGAAGTGGTTGCAGCCCTCATTCAAGTTATCCTTTTGTTTTGATTTTTAAAGTCGTCTCCGCTGTCTTGGAGGGATAAATAAAATGAAACAGAAATCTAAGAGCCACTTCTGTGGTTGTCTCCTGAAGAGAAGGCTGCAGCAGCAAAACTGCCTCAACTTCAGTGCGAGGTGACCTGAAAAAATGACAGGGCTCTGCTCACAGCCACGAGCACACAGCTAAATTCATACACCACTTACTTATTGATGTGTTTGTACAATAGGAGTGGCTGGGAAGGCTGCAGACTCCCAGGTACCTTCTGATGGCACATAATAAGCACAGACAACACAGACCTACAGTGAATAATAGAACAAAAAGCTTCCAGTAGCATTGAAAATCAAAGTGCATATGCGATCAGTGCTCTCCAGTGAAACCTCCGGGGAAGGGGAGTGAGGGGCATCCATGAGCCTGGGGAGGAGGAGAAGGGTGTTACAAAGCAGCTGCATGAAAATCTAACCCCCCCTTTACCCCCAAAATATCAGAGTTCAAAATCATGCATGCTGTTCTACACACGATCTACAGAGCATCTCACAGAGCGTTATTGAAAAGGTCCAATTAAAGAAGAGGCACAGGAGGAACACCCAAGCCTGGGTACAATCTCAAGCCTGTGGTCTCAATGCTCAGTAATTCTCTTCTTAGCCCCATCAAATGCATTTTTCCCCCTCTGGTACTGTGTTGGCATCACTGCTGCTGAAAGTCCTGACACCATCAGCTGTTTTGTGAGGATAAGTCTTCTCCAGGATGGGAATATTTCTGTGCTGTGCCTTTAGGACATCTTCAC